ATGAATATCTCTAACAGAACACACTATGTACTTTTTCCGGCACAGTTCCCGGACCTCGTAGAATCTGAGAATTTTCTCCTTCACCAGCCCCCCCCCCCTTGGAATAGCTAAAAAGTAACTTTGGATAATGGAGGCAATTTTTATTCGCATAGGAGAATAATAGGCGAAGAATACTTGCCAAAACAAGACACATTAGACACAGTATAGCGGTACCAGAATTTTATCGTTAATCACTCATACCTCAGAGTTAATGCTGAAGCTATGCGATTCAACTGTTGTTGTAATGACACTTTGCCTTTTAAAATCAAAAACTTGTTAAAAACCAATGTCGAATAAAAAAGGCAGAGCGCGGAAGCTCATTTTTTTCTTAGATTTGTTAACTTACATTGGTTTTGATAGTTGTTCGTTAGAGTCTATCTGTTGACGTTACAATTTTTTCTTTTCTATTCTGAATCATGCAGTCAGCCCCGCTTTACTGTTGTAACTGGCGCGTCGTTGAACGCACAAATAAATAAATGAAATTGTATTGTGGGACTCAATGGTAATACACTGGTGTGCAAAACTTAAGGACGAGATGGATAAATTGACATAACTTATTAACAATTCGATGGAATTGGATGAAACTGTGCAAGCATAATGCTAAAAGCCTTACAGTCATGGACATCAAAGTGGGCCTCATATATCTTGCATCCGGCTTCAATCTGGAGCCTAAATGGAGTGGCCACCAGAACGAGGGGTTTCGTGGGGCAGGACAAGAGGGGTGTACTGAAGCAGGGAGAAGTTGTGGAATGTAGTGGTGTTCTTGATTACAGCAAGTCTCAGAGACAACACTAGGGTGACTTCACGCGAGGAAGAATCACCGAGAAACTGGAAGAAGGAAGATTTGTAACGAGTGTGGTCGGGGTGTCTTTGACCTCAACTTCAATCGTATGGAGGACAAGGTGCGAGAGCATCGAGCAGCCTAGGTGGAAAACTCTTGGAAAGCGAGGATTTCCGGCGATTGGTGAAGCCTGCCCGCTTCCCCCAGTCAAATCCTATGGAGCACGTGTGGCGTGCATTCAGGAGAGCTATTGTAGCGCATCCCATGCGCCAACAATGTCCAGCAGTTGTCAATCGCGGTCTTCAAGGAATGGATCGCTTCTCCACAAGAACTCTTAACCAACCTTGTGGCCAGTATTGGAGCACGTAGCAGAGCATGCTTTGCAGTCCGTAGTGTTCATACACCCCATCAAGAACCAGCTCCTCTCTTTTGAATGTCTACCATGAGTTGGAGTAGCCTCACCCATCGACCGCTTCAGACAGGGTATTTGAAGAAAAATGTCTTTTCCAATCGCCCCTTTGCGCTTTTCTGTTAGTAACTCTCTGCACTGTACCGCAACATTTACTTCTATATATGTGCCAAATTTGGTCCACCTAGGTTAACTAGCAGTGAGATATCATGTGAAAGTTACTTCCGTCCTTAAGTTTTGCACACCAGTGTAGAAGAGAAGCATAAGTATCAAAAATGGTTTTAATCCGAAACAAATTTCTTGTCGCTATGGGAGGAAGAACAACTCTACTGCGTAAGAAACAACATCTGAAAATAACTGATTCCATATCGGAGCAGAGCCAATGCTACAACCCTAGTGAATGAATGAATTTGACGGATACGAAACCCCATAAATTATAACCCCCATAAATTTCTCAGGTTTCATTTATTTATTTGGAAGGATTGACGAAGGCAGGCGGCCATTCATGGCTACAGTGGCTGCAAAATGTCGAACATAGTGAATGCAGGGAAATCAAGAGGTCAGCACGGGGAAATAGGAAACATAACTTATTGTCTCTTCTAACTTTTGTCGCCTGTGTTAGAATTTGAAAGTCCAGAACTTTACCAAAGGTATTGTACAGTTTCCTGTTAACAGAGGCTCAAATGTGTTTTCTAACTTATGAGGAGACTTCCTAAAAGAGGAACCGACCGCTGCCCCTCCTTTTCGATCCCTTTTTAAACAAGCTTTAAATTTATTTATTTATTTATTGCACGCTTAGGTGCGCTATCCTATTTCACATCCGAGCATCAAAGAAAATTAGAGAACACAGAACATTAACTAAGTGAACCAGCACTGAAGGTAATAAGGAGATTCTTTAGGACGAGTTTATCAAAAGCCGAATTTCGGCAAATGCAATTAAAAGGACTATGTAGGCCCAGCTGAAGTTGTACTCAAATAGAGAATGTATTCAGTATTCGTTAGTCAGTATTCGATGTCGTTGGGCGGATAGCGCTAGGGATAACGCCACTCCTAGACGGGCACGAAGCATACGCATGGAATCAGAAACTGAATTTTCGGATGTTAGGTATTCCCTACCCCTAACAATTCAGCTTTCAGCCTAAATTAAAGCATTTGCCGCTCCTTCGATCATATTTGATTAATTCAATTTTTTCTTTACTTGAATTTGAATTTCAATAGCAGTTCTTGGCTGCAATTCGGCATTCGAAATTATCACAAGAATGCTGTATCATGGGCAAAACTCATTGGCCCAGACGGGAATCGAAACCGCCCTTCTCGCTATTCGGGTAGTTGGGCCATCGAGCATACCACTACAGCACTAGCTAAACGCTACTTCTGATGGTATATTATCATGGCTTGATTTTAGGTTTTGTTTCACGGTTTTGCTAATTTCAAAGCAATTTTATTCAGTTCTTCTTCTCGTGCTCAAATGCAGTTTTGAAAGAAATTTGAGATGGAGTTGGGTGTGTCGACTGGTCTTAATCAAATATCTGCCATAGAAGCAGTATGGTGCTAAAAGTGATGGGGGTAGGCTGGTCGTATGGGTGACCCCTTCAAGAATGATGGCGATGGTGGTGGGAGTCGTGTCGAGACCGGTTTTATGAGGGGAAGGAGGTCGTGAATGTTTCAGAAACTACACAGTACTACTGTTGATCCTGGTCCTGCCGTGACCGAAGTCTTCAAGATTCGAGCAATTGCAGCGAATAATGAATAGCACAGAATTCATTCGAAAAAAAAAACGGAAAAAATTGTACCTGGACAGAGAGATTTCGCGCTTTCTCCCAGTCCACATCAGCGAACCATTTCTGAGCACAAATATCCACGGCTCGCCTTGAAGGGTCACGATCGAGAAGCAATGAGATCAGATCTCTGAAATCACACCGTTCTTATTTCCACCTGGCGGTGAGAATTCTTGGAATCAGTTCACATGCCGCTGGATGCAACGATTGAGGTACTAACTGTCTTAGCAAGCAGATTTGCAGACTGAGTCAGCCTTCGACTGTGTGTCCCCGGCAATGGTCAAGTCCAGCCGTCCGTCTAGCGAGCCTGGCGTGGGAGGATGTCTGCGGTTTTCAAGTTTTCAGAAAGGGTCGTATTTGGTTGGCGAAGAATAGCTGAGTTCGAAGGGGATAGTATTAGAGAACTTTCAGTGAGACCGTGGTAGAGTGAGAGAGGCCATCCCGACGATGGGGGAGGGCTCGAGGAAGGAAGCGCGATACAGACAAAATTGAGCGTTTGCCGTTCTTGTGACATTTTTGCCCTCCCCCTCTTTTCTCTCTCCCTTATTCTTCCCTCCCAACCCTCACTACCCTTCCCATCTTTCGCTAGATATCCAGGAGTATTTGAGGTGGGGGGGGGGGAGTTGGACTGATTTCGACTGGTCTCATGGTCCGAATCATATGTCGTAGAAACAGTAACCGTGGTGAGGGTGGTGATTGGATGTACAAACGCATAGAGGATTCTCCCAAGGCCGATGGTGGTGACGAGGGGTTGTACCAAGACCCTCTAACCATAAGGCGAGGAGTTGTGATTTAAAATCAGCCTGAAGTCAGGATTGGCCCTGATGGCCACGTTGAGCTACGTCCTCCCTGCTTCGAATTGGTAATTTATAGAATAGTTCAGGGGGAACTGTGCAGTATCTCAATGCTATGACAACACGAATCAACAGAAGGATAAAAATTTTGTTATCAGTGAGGAGCTGGACCAACCGAGCGGAAACATCCAAGTCGTCGGGAAATGAGATGTCGCCTTGCCGTATGGCTTCAAATACCTCATCCGTGCTATCTCCATAGAATGGCGGCTGACCGTGGAGAAGTTCGAAAATCAAAACGCCTAAGGACCACCTAAAATCAGAACTTTGGAAGTGGTATGTCTCCAAACAGTTCAAGGCTTGAAATTTTGTTCGAATTAGCCTGGTGTTAGCTGAAACTGGAATACCAGATCGTCGTGTGGAAGCTTTGCTCTGTCCGCCTAATTCTTCATCACACTTTCTGCGGGGTGGGCACAAACCACGGGAACTGAACGCGATCGCGAAACTTTTCGATTTTTTCATGTTAATCTTCGGAATTCCTGTTTCTTTATACAAAATTTTCGACTGTGCGACCTTAACAAAACACTCAAAGTAACGTTATAAAGTATGAGTCACTGTTTATCCTGCAACTTCGTTGGCACACTTGTCCACACAAAATTTCATCACCTTACTTTCAGAATGACAACAATCGTGTTATTCGTAACGTGGAGGGTGCATTCTCCCGAATGAGACTAGATAACAGAAGTCACCTACTTTTTAATCCTCTATCACATCCAGGTGATTTCTATACCACCAGTCGTTGGTACCCCCTGCATCGCCGAATCCTCCGTTCTGATGGAACCTTATGTCATTTCATTGTGGTACCTAAACTCCTGAGGGTACGGTATGCGGCCGGTAGTTGTTTCAAGATATGTAGAGGCAATTAACCTCATTGACATGCCCTCCCCTCTCACCACTTCCTCTAACTGACAACTGCAGCACCATGGAACGACCGAAAGTGGCTAATTATTTTGTTGTGCATAAGTCAAGCCTCGCATTCGCAAAACCGTTCAAACAATAAGCAAAAGCAAAACCAGCATAAACTAATCATGCTTTCTTTTCGTATTATATACACTCTGTCCCATTTCGCAGCAAGCCGCTTGCAGGTCCAACATAAAAAGGATGCTGAGCCCGTTTCAAGAGTCCTCATCATTCTCAATATGTACGACGTAAATATGATTTGTGATTGAGGGTCGATCGGAGTAAGTTTCGATGATGACGATAGATCCCGAAAAACTCCCATTTTGGCAGCTTTTTTCTTTATATAGATTTTCGCCCACCCTGAGTTTCCAACTTCTAAGCACCATATCTGAGTACATTTACAATATAGAAGAAAATAACAAACAAGGTTTTGTAGAGCGGAAGAAGTACTTTCAAATGATACATGTGATTTCCTAGATAGTACTTGTATTCACTTAATTTGTAGGGCTAGAAAAAAACGTTACCATGATTAATGCCCCCCAATAGGTAATATGTAGCCGGTTATCACAGTAACCAATGCCAAGCACTGATAGCACGAGTCCTGCGAGCTACCCAGATTTTGTGGCGGCTTCTTAATCCTATTAGCTGCCTTATCAGTCACTTCATTTTGCGGACTGACAATTAGATGTACACACAAATCGAAACACACCAAGTTAGCGGTTTATATAATAGAAGGATCTGCAGCATTCGCCTTGGTTAATCAGAGGGACGGCCAAGTACCAAAAAGTTCGAGTCAATCCACGACACTCATCCAGAGTCGGAGTGCGGGCTAAAGATCTGTAGAAGCCTGTATGAATAAATCCCTCCAGGTTCATCTGGAAATGCTAACGTAACAAGACAGCCTAGTAACTGCACTACAGATCATCCTGAGGCTTACCCTCCGCTTTGAGGCTGACTGCGGAAATTGAAGTAAGAACAATTGGAAGTCCTGTTTGGAAGGCAGCAAATGCTGTTATAGCAGTACATGACCCAATATTATTCGTCAGAACATTTTTTTTCTGCGTGCATCCGATAATCCTACTCTCGCTAGACGGTACGTGGGTCAGCAACCGAATTAGGTAAAGCCACTGTATCAGGCAACCCAATCGCGATGTTGACTACATCGGCTGCCTCTGTTCTACTGCGTCTTCCCGTCCCTTGGACAGAATTTGCCCCGTATCTCTCACATGGTGTATTGTATCTGTCGCTACATACACGCTACACCTTATTCCAAATGATTGACTTTTCTTCCTCCCAAGAAGCAGACTAGAGCTTGATGGCGATCCGATCTCTATCTGCTTAGTTTGAAAAAAAGGCAAAAAAGCTTAGTAAAAATTAAAACACCAGCCCTATATGGCGTTGCCGGCCGTTGACGATTTGCCGTTGATCAATCCCTTTTTGGGATGCGGACGCATTCTATTAGGTTGTCTCATAAATAGTGTCGCTTTTTTTCAACCACAAAAATTTTCATCCAAATCCTCATGCTTTTACATCGAGTCATATACCATTCGGAAAGAAATTGTCTGCTCTACAAAATGCTATGTTCCACTTCCACCTCTGTTTCAGGGTTTTCAAATTTTAGGCCTGTGAAATGGGAGGTCCAGCCGACAAAAATTGACCAAACCGACAACTATCTCTAACTTCATCTTCCCTCTAGATAGAAATCAATCAATATTGTACCCTCTACTTACCCATGACCTCTTCTAAACATTCCACTCTTAGGTTGCCGAAAAAGCTTTGCCGTGTTTCTTTAAGAATGGGCTGACGATAAGCCCGTAGCAATTTTCAAATTAAAATTGTTCCTCGTAAACGTCATTGTTTCATATCGAGTGATGATCCATTTGAGGCATTTTCTGCTCTAAGTTCGCTCAAATGTTTTGTTTTTATGCTTGTTGGGAATTAGTTCGAATTTTAGGTGTTCAGGAATAAGGTGCTTTATCTACGAAAGTGACCGCATTTCTTTGAAAAAATTACCCTGAGAAGATGAGAAAATCAACCAGGCGTACATTCCTAACTTATTCATGACTTTTCTTCAAATTCTACTAGTTCTTCAATGTCTAGGCTTCAAAAAATTTGGAGCTAGTTCTCAAGTAATAGTGCTCGACCGTCGAGTTCTGGTTGAAAACCAGGTCTGGAAATGGAACGACGCGACTTGTTGGGAAACCTAATAGTGTAATGTTCAGAAGAGGTCATGTGTAAGTAGAGGGTACATCATTGATTGATTTCTCCAAGGGAAGATAAAGTTAGAGCTAGTTGTCGGTTTGGTCAATTTTTGTCGGCTGGACCTCCCATTTCGCAGGCCTAAAATTTGAAAACCCTGGAACAGAGGTGGAAGGAACATAGCATCTTGTAGAGCAGACAATTCTCTTTCGAATGGTTATGACACCTCCTGGAATCATGGAAATTAGATGAAGAAAAACTAGCGATACGAGATGCGGCAGCATTCCTACTTCCATTTGTACATTCGTAGTGGCATTTTGAATGCGATGTGGCCTATACAATGACTTGCGGGGGCCAGCCGATGTTCAAGTCAGTGTTTTTATCCTCCCAGACAAGTCTGGTACCAATTAACCGACCCCGGAGGGATGGAAGGCTTGGTTGGCCCGGGCGACTCACGACCCAGGATTTGATCCCCGGACCGCTCGCGTGGTGAGCGCGCCACTTGCCACTAACTATTACTATTAGCAAACTATTATAAATGAAAAACTGAAAAATAGAAAAGTAAATAAAATAATAAATAAAAATCGGAAAGTAAATAAATAAATAAGATAGATGGGAAGCTGTTCAAATAGTGAACGACACACAAAATATGATAAAAGGGGCAATAAAAAATAGGAAAAAATGGAAACGTAAGGCAGAGGGAAAAAAGCTTGTACCAATCTACAGCGATGCCGTAACCTTTCTTCATTATCACTTCAGGTGCAATGTATTCAGCAGTTCCACATATAATATAGTCTGAAAAAATCCACAGATAGCAATCGTAAGAAAAGAACGGGACACTCTCCGGATAGTATAGCTAGCCACTAACAGTTAATGAACTACTTTCCCTTCTGAAAGTTTGCAAGTCCAAAGTCACTTATCTTCCAGGGCCGTTTTAAGAGAGTACAGATTTTCAAGGTAAAGATCAATCGACAGTGAATACATTGCATGACTGGGCTTATTTTACAACTACTGAAGTCCCTCTAATATTTTTATCATTGACTACACCTATCAATGTGACAAAGAATAAATAAGATAAAGCGGTCCTTTTTTCTTGGAAAAAGACAGGATCACTGCTTCGCTTCCATTTTGAATTCGTGTTGTCATTTCCGGTTGAGTTGTCCACTAATATATGATTTACTAACAAATAATGATAGTGATGCTGAGGTGGTTTAGGGTTTACGTGACAGCAGTCAGCACGCACATGGTCAAATGTGAGTCAAAAATTGAGTTTTGCCCGAGCTAATCAGGCCACTCATTCTATCAGGTTCCTTGGTAACAGAATTTTCAAAATCAATATTTGACGTCTAATCTTAGCACTTGGACGTTACGTAGCGCACACCCCATGACACGCAACGTGGATTACGGCGTAGCGGCTAATTCAAATACGCGCGGGTTAGTTGAGCCGTGGAGCAGGCAAGTTCGTACAACTCGTCTGGCCCCGCCCCTTCCTTATTTAAGGGAATCCTTGTTTAGGGCTTCATCGACGGTTTTCATTGCTTCTTTTCCTTTTATTCAGTTATCCACAACTGTATTATAAAGCGTTGTGACAACACAAATTTAATCTGGTGGTGTTGCTTTAAAGGAGAATTCCGCTATAAGGACAAGATCGAAGAAGGGAAAACTTATGCAGTGAAGAGGCAGACAAAACATAACTGTGCGGACCGACACACGATTTTCATCGAAGTTTATGCCCTAGCACTCGCTACTGACTCCGCCCCCCTCTTGTGTCATCTCGTGTCTGAGTCTCTAGCCGTTCAGCAGAGAGAGAGCGTTAGCGTTGAAGAGGGCAGCACCGATGAGAGTCGCATCAATGCGCAAATCAACGGGCAAGGAAGGGGGTTCTAGCCATTTTTCTCCCTTTTTTCTTCTTTCGTGCATCATGACCATCTCTAACTTATTTCCAGTGGGTCGCCTTTCCATCGTGAAACCCGCCTTCAGTTACTACAACGATTCTGAATGGAAGTAGAAGACGTGGCGTGTCTCAATTAGCGCCCAATTTCTGTCCCCTTTTATCTATCTAATAACATGATGAAACTCACAATATTCTTGGAATGAATGTGTTGAAGTGCGCAGACAATCTCCACAGAATAAAATCGCACAGCAGTTTGGAGATCTTCCCTGAACTCAGGTTCTATTTCTGCCAAATCTTTTCGTGCGTCTATATTCAATGTAATGTTAGAATCTCTCTCGACTTACTCACTCGTTCATATCGTTCAGGTAATCGGATAACTCTCCACCGTGAACAAATTCCACTACAAGACTGAGATTGATTCGATCCATTCCTGTGCATATTCTGGAATGCTCCTCTGTTAGTTGTCGGTAGAGTAATGGGAGATTTTTCGGGGATAAGTATGTCTACTCTACCAAAGAAATGGGGTGAAGTGAGAGTTAACTTCCTAATTGGGCTGTGTATGGACTGCGTTGAACATTTCTTCTATATCTTGACACGAATGGAGGACGACCAGAGACACATCCAGAGCATACGGCGCTTTGGCTCGGCCCTCCGATCTCAAAGGTTGGAGGTGAAAGCCTAGTGGTAAGCCTTGGGGATCGTCAGCGGACTTATTGTGGATAACCAGTTACAGCGTGGCAAAAGTTTTTCATGTTGTGAGCGTCACAGCGTTCATTCAGCGCTGATAAGGCGTGCGAGCGCAGACGAGAGATCGGGTTGAGGCGGCTCAAAGGAACTGAGTTCAATTATTCGTCGACCCCCCCCCAATCACAGGGGTGGTGATACTGCCGACTTAGAAAGGTGCGGACAAGGGAGCTGATCCTCCGCGTGACCACTGCAACCGCTGTGATTCTTATCAGTCTTGACGACTGCGCTTACGCGTACGACATGCGCTCTCTCGCGTCCTCCCTCTCCTATATGTAACCTCTTCGTGTCGCAGTCGACCACGCAAGAAAAATTTCAATGCTCTATGGCGATTTTGCTTTTTCCCCTTTCCCCTTCCTTTTTATGTAATTTTAAAGGGAATAACGCACTAGCTAGAATGCGACCTGAACCTTCAAGCTTATAAACTTTACTCTGTGCCTTGAAATTAAGCCGAGACCATTGCAAGCGCAGTCGTCTCGAGTTCAGAGGACATGCTACTGTTAAAAAAACGTCGTAGAAAAAACCTAGAGCAGCTTGTCGGGCTCGCACATGGAACCAGGAAGGCTCTAGATCCCAAAGTTATCCAGAGCGAAGAGTCGACCTTTGCGGAGAGCGAAGAGCTTTTTTTGATTTCTTCCTCGGTATGCATAGTGGGATGGATCTACTATGAGTGCCATGAAATTAAAGGCAAAATAAAACAGGAAATCTCTCAAATAATCTGGAATGATGAATAAATAAATAAACACAAAAGCAACGGGGATCTGAACAGAACCAGCTCACAATTCTACGACGAACGGGCAAGAAGACATTAAAAGTAGCTCCTTCTCACGTTTCACGTACTCGGCCCGATTTTGCTGTACCACCTGGAAATAGAATTAGATCAAGTTAATTGTGACTTTTAGCGACGTTGTTAAAGGAATCTTCCACGGACCATGGACCAGTGGGCGGGACCGGAAAGTTTTTGTGACGAAATGCATGGTAGGTACGGATCCACGTGTCGAACGCACGAACGTGAACAGGATTCACTTCAAACCTTCCCATGAACGTGGATCCGTACCTACCATGCATTTCGTCGCAAAACCACTTCCGGTCCCGCCCACTGGTCCATGGAAGATTCCTTTAATTATGGCCATATCTATAATGAATTGCGAAAATCATGTGCAATTTACTGATTTTAGCCTCCTGCACAAATCTGGTTCCGATAAATCGACTCAAGAAGGATAGAGAGGCCTTACTGCTGTGAGCTGCGTTGGATCCAGTTGCTTTCGTTGTTTTCATCTCCACTATTTCCCCAACGAAGCTTTTCTTTCACATAACAGCTAGCTCACTTCACCTATTCAATGAACGGAAACAATTGCTGCTATCCCACTGAGCTGAGAGCACTGAGAAAATGTGGCTCTAGGGGGGAGGTGACGACAGTTGCTGCCGCCCACAGAAGTTCTATTTTCTGCATCCCTGGGTGCGTGAACATTTTGAGTGCACTTCTAGACCCTCTCCGGAGCTTCTTTCCTCTGGGAAAACTGGACTACTCATACAATATGAATGTAGCAACCCCTTTACTGTGTGAGACCCTAGAAGATTCATAAAGTCAAATCAATTTCTGGCAGAAGGCTAGCTTACCTCATGGATGTTGAACTTCTTGACGGCGTAGTATTCCTGTTTGGCTTCGCTCCAGGCCAGATCAACCCTACCAAACGTTCCACAACCTGAATAAGCTTACTGACTTCAAGAACCACTGACAAATAAAGTGCCTGTGCTTACCCAGTGTGGCAACATCCCGAAGCTGGAGCTCTTCAAAATGAACCATCCCCTATGCTACTCGGCCCTAAACGACGAACATTCCAAATTGTGCGAAAAGGCAGCAGAAAAAACTGGGCATGAAAGCTAACTTCGAAAGTGTAAAGAGACATGTGCCTCGGCAAACAGTCGAGATCGCCAGCGCGGCGAGAGCAGCCGACGATTGAAAGCATCTGGATTTTCATGCAAGAAAACCACTTATCGATCAGCTGCTCGGAGTGTGCCATCGGATTCGATTGGCTAATCCATTTCTAAATCGATAGAACAACTCACGCACTAACCGAAGAAAAGATCGCGCCGCCTGTCGTTCAGTGTAAAACAATTCGCCTGGAAAACTTTGATTCTTCTAATAATCTCAAAAGAAAGTACACTTTTTTTGAAAATACCTACAAGTTCATTCC